CTGTCGAAGATTACTTCTTCTAGTTGTCAAGATCTCCCAAAGACTCAGACCAATCCAATTTTCAGAAAAGAAATTTTCCCCTCATTTAATATGAACTTTATTTCTGCTAATAAAGATGCAGAAAATTGACCAATCACAACACTCCGTTCCTTCATTATTCATCCCATCTTTCCACAGAACTTAACACCATCACACATTTTTCTACCTTTAGGATCACCGGATTATCAAGCGTGCATGAATGATAATTTTTGCAAAAATGGAGGTACTTGCATTAATGTTAACGAAGGTTTTTACTGTCTCTGCCCACCCGGATTTGGTGGAGACCGATGCGAGGAGGACTTTGATGAGTGCCGCAACAATCCGTGGTGAGGCATTCTTTCTCATGCCAACTCCTTACTTGCTGCCAGCAATGTGCTTGCTGAGTGCTGCTGCTGCTGCTGCTGCTTGTGGTGATGATGATGATGCTATGTTGACATCAGCAAAAGTTGGAAATTTTGAAGTTGGTTTTTTGGGATTATGAAAGATATTTTGGTTAATTGCATGTAAGTGAATTTACTGGAACAGTGAGGGAGTCGGAGGAAGAGTAAAAGTGTCACTCCTTAGGATAGCCAAGTGTATTGTGTGAGGCAAAACGTTTGAATTTTTATTCATACACACAAAAGTGTTTTTTTTTTGGCGTGTAGTTGTAGGATCACTCCAAATAACAAAGCCTTATGTGTCATTTTCTCAACAAATGATAGAAAACAAGGTGTTCGATGATATCCTCGAGTAGCCACTTCAATCGGGTCATTTATAGCCTCAAAACTTTCAAACTCACCTTTCATTTGGCCCTGCATCAACAGAACGATCGCATAATTTCCAACACAACCTCATATTGCGATTCCATACTGCCAAGAAAAGCATTCCAATTTGTAACCCTTTTTTAATTTGTAGTCAAAATGGAGGCAAATGTCAGGATCGTGTCAACGGTTTTACATGCATCTGCGCTGAGGGATTCATGGGCGTGGATTGTCGACACAGTAGGTCGAATTTGCTCGCCCAAAACCTTGTCGAAATGTGATTTTAAGGAGGCATTGTGTCTCATTGCAGAACGAGATTAACAACTCACAAATTGGGATGATAAAACTCATCTAAAATTAAGTCAAGGAAGGTCACCTTGGTCCTTAAAATGGTGGGAAATTCACAAGTTTTTCTTGATGGAAACAATTTTAAAATG